TATAATTATATTATAATCATTATACATAAACGCACGAAAGCTTACCTTCGTCTTTGTATGCAGACATTTGGTATGGAACGCAGACTCTTATGCACGAGTACATTTTAGGTTAGGTTATTCACGTCTTTAAACTGGGCAGCATCCTAACCCTTACGGAGATTCAGTTTCGAAGTCGATTTCACACATTAATTCATTTCGTAAATTGCTAACTTTCACACACATTTTATATTTTCTCACTAGATGATACCTTTTAATATCTCCTGATGCGATTTACAGCAAGTTCATTTTATATATCGTAAACGAAGAGTGATTACTGCATCCGTATCCACGGCACATTGTTACGTTGAAATTTACTGGCATGATAGATGCAAATCGCGCGGAACAAATTCTTCGGTTTCATTCGAGTTAATTCTGTAATTAAACTTTCTTTGGCCTGCTTCCTACCCTTCTCGTGGTTGTACCAGAATTAGACACGGATCCACACCAACATGTTATCTGTAGATTTCTGAGTTATGACGATGTATAGCCTTGTAGACAGATACAGTATCAACGTCTAGGAGGAAGGTATCGTCTCAGTCGTCAGCGTTCCTCCAAAATATTGTCAACCACATAATACGGCGTCATAACCCAGACGACCACAGTCAACATCTTCATTACCATGAGAACCTCCTTTTAACCGCATGGCAGTAGCAATTATTTTCAATCAGGGAACAGCAAGGGTACTCGAAAAACCCAGAAGCATTACTCCAATGACCTTTGATAAAATTCTCTACTGCACATGCCTGAAGATCGTCTAAATTATGTTTAACAATGTTGTTCCTGTCTCAAAGAAAATCATGCAAATCCATTATAAAAATCAGCTGGCTGGTGTTTTATGAGAAAACTGTTTATTCTACAAATCATACAAAAGCCATGAATACGGGCAAAATATAGAATTACTGAAAGTGTGAGCATTTGGGCTAAAGGGTCGTTGGTTACCAATGTACTTCTAGGAATAAAACACTTCCTTTGTTATCACAAGAATAAACACCTTGGAAGGCAAATAAACAAATAGAATAATGAACAAAGAGAAATCCAAAGAATGTTACTGAATAAACTTACCCCATATCACATGGAATAACCATGTGATATGCGGTAAGTTTATCACGATTACTGTCACTGTAAAAGAAAAGAAAAACAATGGTACAAAATTTTATTCGTTACCCAAAAGACAGGAATTGTTCCGGCAAACTGAAATTTTATGGGATAAGCAAGTAATGAAAATTTTCTGGTGCCTTAATTTCTATATGGTGACAAATTACATTTAAATAGGCATTCATAATTCATCGTTTTGGGCAGCAACAACAAAAAATATATAAGGAATGGAATTGCACCGAGTCCTAGACCATGCAGCTTGTTAGTAAATCCACATTACAAAAATCCAGTATCCACAAGGTAATCTCTATTCATAATTTGAGACATCAAATTAAAAGGAATATTTCGTAATGTATTCGGCAAACATCTTATTTCAGAGTGGAAACAAGACTGAGAAACGGAGAGAGAAAACTGACAAGAAACATCGGTGGCTGAAATTTCTCTGGTAACAGGGAAAGTTCTCGTTAGGAAGGATAAATCATCATTTCTTTAAAACACAAACAAATATGATTAACGCTATAAATTACACTATTACTTAATTTTTAATTTGATCCAGATAAGACATTTATAATACAAACATGTTTAAATACAATGGAATTACATTTTTATACATTTATTCTTTGTATCCGTCACGTGGAGTGCTGCTCGCTTAATCACACTGTCCCACTCCAGTCAAATGTTTGAATCCCGTACACTGGCGATAAAGAGTTAACCGGCAGCCTATAACAAAGCCTGCCCTGTATTTATAAATATCTTATTCCATCTGTAAGTATAAATACAATCTGGTAGTAGACGGTATTCACATAACGAGTATTGATTACAACTTCATTTATATATACACACAAATGCATGGTAACAATGTTACGAAAGTCAACTAATACTAAATAGCCTTATCAGATCTATCACCTTGTAGTCATTCTATGTCATGAAGGGTTACTAGTCGACCTGCCTTTTCCAGTCCAATCCGGCTTCTTACGACAAGACGTCCCTCTTCCCGTTTCTCGACTCATTAAATTAATGCTGTGATGTTAAGTACTTTAAACTTACTTCAGACACTTCCTTGACATACGGAAGAAGAGGATAGGGAAAAAGCAGTGAAGAACAAAGGTCGTCTTGCAGTCACATGACTCGAGAGCACCACATATGAGGGTTGATCAGAATGCTTGCGTTGGGTTACAGCTTCAAAAACACTGCCAGGTCTACCAACAGATTAAACCCACCGGTTTTAAGATGATTATGTAACAGCAAAAATATCTGACAACATTTGCGTTCACTATTAAAACAATGTTTTAAGTTAAACAGTGAATGGTCCAGTCAGACACTACGACACCCAGTACAGTGAAGTCCCAATTCTAGGTTTCTTGATCTAAGGTTTTCCTTCATTTCGCTCTCTCTCCGTCGTCCGGAGATAGGAATTAGCTCTATCGATTGGGCCCGACTGAGTAGGCCTACCTGAAGACGGAGATAGAGTCCCATCTTCGAAACGTCCCGGATTTTATGATTTTATTTATTAGACGATTGAAAATATCCAGAAAACTCTTTTACTTCTCCACCAAAGTACTGATAGACCACACACATCTTATTTTTAATCCTAAGACATTCCAACATAAAGTTATCTTAAGCCAATAATTCCGAAGTTAAATTCACTCCACTTAAGGTTTTCCTCAGTTTAGTGTCTGAATCCTTAGATGGGGATTACACTGTACAAATCTTCTGATCATTCTTATTTTGCTCATCATCAATTCCAGAAAGTATCGAGTCTACTACAAATACAAAATTCCTTTTTCTTTCTCCTCAATAAATTGAAATGATTGATTTTTACAACTAGAAATCACAATAAACTACACTAATCAGAGACAGTATCAGTACATCTACTACACATCTCCACAACTGGTCTACTATACAGACAACTATTTCATTCAACATTTATATCTATTCTTCAGGGGCTTGGGCAGCAGAATCTAAGATTGCTTCAAATGAGAACGGCTGAAAGTCATAGCCCATGCCTTGGTAAAACTTGCTCTGAAACTCCACCCTAAAAAAGAAAACATAATTATTACACCGACAAATTCTTGAAGAACCAAAGTAGGAACTTTGCTAAGAACGTTAAAGATATAACCGAAGGATAAATGTAGGAGAATAATAAATATTCTTGTTTGTATACTGTCGTTCATTCTACTCACACTCTATTGATATAAATGAACAAAATTTCTGAAAGACCTTAAAATATCTACTTTCCTTCATTTGTAAGATTTTGAGGTTTTCACAGCGGTGAGTATGAAGATTTCTGTCTTCATGGGTTGTTGCGCTGATGACGGATGCAGTATGACCTCTGAAACGTTGGTTAACGTCGACCAGACTACACAGCGCAACAACCCAGAGGACAGAAATCTTTTCCTTCAGTTGTTTCAATCTATATTATGAGGTTAGCAGGATTATAATCAATGATCCACTTATGTGCATTTTTCAATGGTATGTATTCCTTTCATGTTAAATCCGTGTGATGAAGTTTTTCAGTCACCATGATTGTAACTGCCAACATACAAAATATTGATCTATTATATATCTCCATAAAAAATTTAACATGCCTAACAACAACGGTTCAGCTATCAACACCAAATGCGAAAGCTACATACGGATTTTACTCAAAAAAATTATACATCTGTTCGAGATCCATTACCACGCAAAATTTCAGGACCCTACATTAAACAGTGTTTATGTCACTGCCACTTCATAAGTTCATCTGGCTGTCAAGTTGGTGTTATTTATAACAGAAAATTAAAATTTACAAAGATGGGGGCGGACAGAATCAGACCCATTTTAATATAGCTCAGCGTGCTATTCCTTTGTTCTAATATTTGTGCTGTAATGTAGAAAAATGGCTTAAAGCGAGGCTTTAATGCTTCATACAAGCTCAACCACATGGTAAGAATCGTAGATCGTCCTTACTCGTAGAGTCTCGATTCTATCACAGTTGATGGAAAGCAGGTGGATATATCAATACCAGGTCCAGCTGGTCTTAATAAATTTGAGACCATCGGCAAAGCAATTCATCACTAAACTTATGACCCACATACACCAAAGTCCTACAATTCATACATAAAAACAGTACAGTACTTCTACTTCTGTACATATTCATCAAAATAACATACCAATGTAGTCGCAGAGTGTGGAGGAAGGCAGACAGGCCTTCCATAAGAACCAAGATGGCGACAGTCAGGGTAGACCATATAGCAAACGTGATCCAAAGAGCGATTCCTCCAACCCAGCCTTCAAACATCAGCCCGTTACGGAGCACCATGTTCCACAGTACCTCGGACAACTCTGAAACGGCAAGCACGTCACAGCAGACTCGTCCAAAATTAAATGTTGTACAGGAATAGGGAATTTATGAAGCTGGTGAATAGACTTCAATTTTGGGGTTTCACTAGTACTGTTCTGAAGAAATATTAGTATTTATGAAATTATGCCTGCTTAAATATTCTAATAGAAAATACACTGTCAAATTCTACAATGATATTTTCTCAATTGCAAAAATTGTTTCCAGAAAAGTTAACAGACCCATGAAACACACAGTAATCACTTCTAAAATGCTGTGACAGAATTATAATGAATTATAAATATCTGAACTCAAAACTCAAGTGTCTTAGTTGGACTTTAAGATTTCAGAGTGATGTAAGCAGACACAGTGGTCTTGTGCGTTGTTGTACTGTGTATCTTTTGGCCGTATACCAATGTTTCAGAGCACATACTGTCTCCATCTTCATGATAAAGGCATAGCTGAACGACTACACGTTTCTACAACCCAGAAGACCGTAATATACATGTAACACTGTTCAGATTCTGGCCGAAAGATAACACACCTGCAAAGACCATGTTAATATCAAAGATACTAACATCTTCCGACCACAATTTAAAAAATCATACTCGTTTTAAATAAAAGACATATATGACCTTTGACAAACTGATACTGGGTGACACTTAATGGCAAATCCAGTACCTGATAATGTGTAATACTACTTACGAGCATGTGCAAGTGACAACGCCCAGAGCCGGAGGTACGAGGCTGTGTGCGATACAGATCCCAGCACGTACTCTATCGTATGGATACCCTGGTGAATAAGGATTTCTCCAATAGGAAGTTCCTCCTCTTCCTTGTGTGGTGGCAGTGGAGGAGGAATCTGACCCTGAGCCAATGCAGCCTCAGCATCTCCATTCTCGGAGCCCACGGCATGATTTTGGTGGTTGCTATTCAACTGGAAACAAGGGATATAAACAGACTGGGGTTAGATTCCCAGCAGGAACAGGATTTCTTTCTTCTCAATCACTGTGACTCTGGGGCCCACCCAACCTCTCATCTATAATGAGTAGTGGACACTCTGTTTCATATTTGGTAGGTGGGAGACACTGGTTATGAAATTACTGGAAAATGTAATAAGCTATATTTTTCATTTGTCATGAAGCCTATCCTTATTTAATCCAGTTCAGAACCAATCAATTAGTATATTAAAATTGATCTAGATTTTAGCTCCCTTCAACAATTTAATCCCACTATTCAAAGTTTCATTCATGTTACAACTTACTAGAACATGCATTCTGCGCTGATTTCTTATGGTGAGCATTGGTTTGGCAAACAGCATCCATGGTATGCACAGAAGGGCTATCACCACAAGCAGCATCTGGAATGGCCGCTGAAAACAGAATTGTAAAACTCGGTAAGTCAGTTAAACACTAAATATGTAATAAGAAAGAACTGCTTGATTCATGGGTTATAAGGAATTACATAATTAGGATGTACGATGTAAGTGGAAACTGTTAAAATAATCAATCTGTTTGCAAACTTGATAAAGATTGTTATTTTCCAAGTTACATATTCAGAAAACAAATGTGGAACTGTACACACTCCAAGTATTTTCCAAAAGCACTCTGCTATTTTGAAAATCTCACTGGATTTTACGTCCGTTTACGGCAGACATACGACGCAAACCAAGCTGCACGGGGGTCAAAAATGATTTCTCCTTGTATTTTGTCAAATACTCACCACACTGAAACATATTTCAAATAAAACTTAACAGATATTAACTTTATTTAAATTTAATATCATGTATGATGAACGTATTTTCAAAGAAAATATCAAATTTCTGTCTGGCTTCAAGTAAAGCAAGGCGTATAACGGAACATAAAGAAAAATTAAATTCACCTGATAAATTAGTGCGAACCTGCTACTGTAATTCCATACAGAAGGGTGTTATTTATCAGACAAGTTCGTCAATTCAAACTCAATCATGCTGATCAGTACGCTTCTTAACCTCAACAAACGTTACAATCAACGGCCACTCACAATTCACATCAACACTTGTCACCCCTCCTTTGAACATTTATCATTCATAACGTTCTTGTGATTTACGGAATTATTGCAATAACGAACTTCCTCTCTTTCATAAATTTTATTGCGGTACACACCGTCAAACCACAAAAATCTGAAGATGGACGGTTGTTGTCCTTTGGTGCATATCAATACAGCAGCCACGTTAAACACTTCATAGCATCATCACAAGCAAAACCAATCAGGTGTACATTCTGGAAGGTTATATTGCTCGTATCACCCATATTCTTTCATGGTACCACAACTGCTTTTGAGAAAAACCATAAACTGCCTTTACCTTTTTTACTTCCTATTACTACGATCACACACTCACCTGCCCACTGTACATGTACTGATCACATACTTCTGGGGCACTGTTTTCATTGAACAGCACCATATTAATGAAAGTTATCAGGATTGATGGAGCACAGTATGGACTTGTCTTTACATCTGAAACAGAGAAGATCAAACAAACATTATAAAACAAAATAATGTCTTCAAGTAACTCCAGTCAATGCGTGTCTTGCTAAACTGACGCCATCAAATGAAGCTCAATACGTGGCGGTAACGATACTTGAACCTTCCCCTCTTTGACATCTGACTGCAGTTGTATTTCCTTCAGATTCCCCACGGTCTATGTCGATCTAGCCCAAAGCGCTAATTGCTAGTGCATGTTATCACCAACATTCTTGTGAACAGAATGACAAACATGTGCAGGGGAATATGAGGGATTATGCTGGATGTGGTAAGCATAACAGCTTGAGGGAAAGTGAGGGTGGTCGATCCATGGGTCTTCTTTCCGCAACCTCAGTACAGTACAGTATTTCATTGAAGCATGAGCTGTGACCTTGAGATTTACAGTACTCACCTGACTGAAGAACAACTCATGGCTATAGATCAAATCCCACTTAACTAGTTCTACATATATTCCTTCAAAAATCAAGTCATCTTAGAATAATATTTAGGTACGTGCATAAATTAAAAAACAATCGCAAAGAACCAGCCTGAATCTATACTTTTATTACCAACAAAAATTTTAAATTGAAGAACTTTGGCCTTGGTATCCGATTTTATGCTTGAGTACATTAATAAATTATGGGTTAACATAAAGAACACATTTCAAATCTTCAGAGCATATATGTACAAATACCACTCACCATCAGTTTTTGGTCCATAACAAGTCCACTTGATAAACATGAGGATCACCATGTAGAGGAACAAGAAACACAAGAAAATCATCTGGGGGATAAACTCGCAGAAAATGCTGATGCGCTTCCGGAAGTACCTGGAACACAAACAACAAATCTTTCAAAAATCTTTCATGCACTGCATGCTTTATCAAGACCTGATCATAGTAATATTTCCATGTAATAGGCTATCTGACATGTTACAGATATAACATTACAGGTAGCCCTCGATTTACGCCGGGGATGCGTTCCTGGACGAACCGGCGTAAACAGAATCGGCGTAAATTGAAACTCTTTTATAATGTAAATCAATGGGAAGTCAATGACACGCGTTCCCATCACCCAAACATTGACTAATACAGTAAAACCCCTCTAGTTGGACACCCTATATCCTGGACACCCCTCTATATTGGACACTTTTAATTGGAACCGGCGAATATCCTATAATTTTACATGTCCACAACACTCTATATCTTGGACACCCCTCTATCCTGGAACTTGAACACCCCTTTTGTTGCAAGTTGGACAGGTTCATGCACTTAGCTTCAATGCTTTTATGGGAAACATTTACAGTTAGTATTTTGTTATTTTGAATTTCTGACTGATGAATGCCTTCTACCTGAGGATTAGCTTATAATTGAGGGTGTGAGACTTTGAACCCATCATTGGAATTCTTTTGTTGAACCCTTCACTGGACTACAGTAGTATTGCTGGTACAGTTCTAACTTTGTCAGTACTGTGCTTGCAGCTGAGTTAGCTTGCAACAGTGTTAACAGAAATTGGATTTTTCTTTTTGCGATGGGAAAACGAAAATTGGTGGAATTAACTCTGGAAAAGAAGAAAGAAGTTTTGGATCTTCTGAAGATAGGAGAAAGTTGCAGGAAGCTGGCAGAGAAATACGGCATCTCAAAATCTACTGTTTCCAACATCAACAGCAACAGAGCCGCAATTACCGATGCGTGGGAAAAGAATTGTAATGCACACAGAAAAAGACTACGAAAAACACCTCATGATGAACTAAATGACAAAGTGTTAGAGTTTTTCCGGTGTTGTCGTGCAAAGAACATTCCCATTAGTGGCACACTTTTACAGGAGAAGGCTAGAGAAATTGCAACTAGACTCCACACCGAAGATTTCTCGGCGAGCAATGGCTGGTTGGATCGTTTCCGTAAACGAAATAACATAAGTCTGCACGTCCTTTCTGGCGAATCAGCTTCTGCTGATCTTCAAGCTGCTGAAGATTGGAAACGCAAACTTCCAAGCCTTTTGTTGGGATACGCAGAAGAGGACATTTTCAACGCGGATGAAAGTGAAGTATTCTACCGTCAACTTCCAACGCGATCCTTAATAGAAATGAGAGAGACATGTAAAGGAGGGAAGAAATCTAAGGAACGGATTACTGTTTTGCTATGTTGCAATTCGCGAGGAGCGAAATTAAAGCCATTAGTTATTGGAAATGCTGCACGTCCTAGAGCTTTCAAAACGAACAATGTGAAATTGGACGACCTTCCCGTAATTTGGTGTCACAACAAGAAGGCTTGGATGACATCTAAAATTTTTTCTGAGTGGTTGAACGAGGTCAACCTTAAAATGAAGCGGGCTAATCGGAAGATATTATTGTTTGTCGACAACGCTACAAGCCACGTCAGTTCAAATCTCTCAAACGTCAGTATACAATTTCTGCCGCCAAATCTGACCAGCGAAGTGCAGCCACTAGATAAGGGCATTATTCAATCTGTGAAACTGCTCTACAGGAAGCAACTAATGCATTCACTAATCAATGCTGCAGATAAGTGCAAAGACGTGACCGAATTTTCAAGAAGCGTTACAGTCTTAGATGCCATTCGGTGGATTCATGGTGCCTGGGCAGAAGTTTCTCCTCAAACCATTGCAAAGTGTTTCCGACATGCAGGATTTATGGCAGATTCCATTGAGGATGAAGAGGAAGGGATGGAAGAAGACAGTTTTCATGAAGAAATAAACTGTCTTCCTGAGGAGATCGCAACCAAATTCCTGATGTCCAAGCTCTTTCAACGTTCGACAACATTCTAGAGGTTCACGACGATGTTGCTGGAACAATCGATAATGTGCTAGACAAAGTGATGACTTCAAGTGACGATGTGTGTAAAGAATCTTCAGAGGAAGAAGAGTTATCTATGTACGAAGAACCACCTACACATCAGAGGGCTTTGCAATGCATGGAAGAATTAGAACGGTATGCTTTCGCTCATAATCAACCAGCAATGGTTGAAACTTTATTCGGATTGCGGCGAAAATTAGAAAGAGGATGGGCAAATTCAAAGACAAAAGCAAAAAAGCAGTGTCTTGTGACGGACTTTTTTACAAGAATTAAGTGATATCATATGTTGAGCTAATGCTGTAAGTACAATTAAAAAAATACATTCTGAACATTTAAAATTTCATTGAGGCTGGGGTGTAATGTGCAACCATGAGAGTGGGGTTCAAAAGATTATTAATACTATTGTCATTAATTCTTAATTCAAGCAAGCCTACAGTAGTTAGATTATGTAAAATAGAATACATTGTCGGTAAACGTAAGGTATTGGTGCCCTTCTTTGAGCTTATCCATGTAAGTTTAATTTAGTGAAAACAAAAGTTATGAAAATTTAATTTACCCTTTTGATTTTTCTTATCAATAATTTCCTTTTTGGGAAGGGCTCCATAATACTTCACAATTACCACATTGTCATTACACCACAATATGAAAGGATATTTTCCCCTTTCCCTCTATCCTGGACACCTCTGTAAGTTGGACACATTATCGTGGAACCGCAAGTGTCCAAGTTAGAGAGGTTTTACTGTATTTGCCGCAATTACCGATGCGTGGGAAAAGAATTGTAATGCAGACAGAAAAAGACTACGAAAAACACCTCATGATGAACTAAATGACAAAGTGTTAGAGTTTTTCCGGTGTTGTCGTGCAAAGAACATTCCCATTAGTGGCACACTTTTACAGGAGAAGGCTAGAGAAATTGCAACTAGACTGCACACCGAAGATTTCTCGGCGAGCAATGGCTGGTTGGATCGTTTCCGTAAACGAAATAACATAAGTCTGCACGTCCTTTCTGGCGAATCAGCTTCTGCTGATCTTCAAGCTGCTGAAGATTGGAAACGCAAACTTCCAAGCCTTTTGTTGGGATACGCAGAAGAGGACATTTTCAACGCAGATGCATCTGGATTATTCTACCGTCAACTTCCAACGCGATCCTTAATAGAAATGAGAGAGACATGTAAAGGAGGGAAGAAATCTAAGGAACGGATTACTGTTTTGCTATGTTGCAATTCGCGAGGAGCGAAATTAAAGCCATTAGTTATTGGAAATGCTGCACGTCCTAGAGCTTTCAAAACGAACAATGTGAAATTGGACGACCTTCCCGTAATTTGGTGTCACAACAAGAAGGCTTGGATGACATCTAAAATTTTTTCTGAGTGGTTGAACGAGGTCAACCTTAAAATGAAGCGGGCTAATCGGAAGATATTATTGTTTGTCGACAACGCTACAAGCCACGTCAGTTCAAATCTCTCAAACGTCAGTATACAATTTCTGCCGCCAAATCTGACCAGCGAAGTGCAGCCACTAGATAAGGGCATTATTCAATCTGTGAAACTGCTCTACAGGAAGCAACTAATGCATTCACTAATCAATGCTGCAGATAAGTGCAAAGACGTGACCGAATTTTCAAGAAGCGTTACAGTCTTAGATGCCATTCGGTGGATTCATGGTGCCTGGGCAGAAGTTTCTCCTCAAACCATTGCAAAGTGTTTCCGACATGCAGGATTTATGGCAGATTCCATTGAGGATGAAGCGGAAGGGATGGAAGAAGACAGTTTTCATGAAGAAATAAACTGTCTTCCTGAGGAGTATCGCAACCAAATTCCTGATGTCCAAGCTCTTTCAACGTTCGACAACATTCTAGAGGTTCACGACGATGTTGCTGGAACAATCGATAATGTGCTAGACAAAGTGATGACTTCAAGTGACGATGTGTGTAAAGAATCTTCAGAGGAAGAAGAGTTATCTATGTACGAAGAACCACCTACACATCAGAGGGCTTTGCAATGCATGGAAGAATTAGAACGGTATGGTTTCGCTCATAATCAACCAGCAATGGTTGAAACTTTATTCGGATTGCGGCGAAAATTAGAAAGAGGATGGGCAAATTCAAAGACAAAAGCAAAAAAGCAGTGTCTTGTGACGGACTTTTTTACAAGAATTAAGTGATATCATATGTTGAGCTAATGCTGTAAGTACAATTAAAAAAATACATTCTGAACATTTAAAATTTCATTGAGGCTGGGGTGTAATGTGCAACCATGAGAGTGGGGTTCAAAAGATTATTAATACTATTGTCATTAATTCTTAATTCAAGCAAGCCTACAGTAGTTAGATTATGTAAAATAGAATACATTGTCGGTAAACGTAAGGTATTGGTGCCCTTCTTTGAGCTTATCCATGTAAGTTTAATTTAGTGAAAACAAAAGTTATGAAAATTTAATTTACCCCTTTGATTTTTCTTATCAATAATTTCCTTTTTTGGGAAGGGCTCCATAATACTTCACAATTACCACATTGTCATTACACCACAATATGAAAGGATATTTTCCCCTTTCCCTCTATCCTGGACACCTCTGTAAGTTGGACACATTATCGTGGAACCGCAAGTGTCCAAGTTAGAGAGGTTTTACTGTATAATGGCATTACATTTAAAGCTCTGAAATAACGTAAATAAAATAATAGGAATTTAAAAAATATATTTTATACACTTAAAATCGGCAATTCGTTGGTCCCCGCGATTCTTTCATGTGATTGATGTGTACAGTCATCTCTGCTGTTATGCGATAGTTGCATTCATGTAAGACGCCGACCTATAGAAAATCGCGTAGTAAAAATAACCCTGGTACCTCCGCAGAGATTAAATCAGTCCTTTGCAATTGCATAGGAGCAAACTCGCATGTGCAAAAATTTGCATTTCACAAACAGCTTTTACGAATCCATCGATCTCGATGGAGCAAATTCGCGTTAATGAAACGTACAATTGCATAGGAGCAAACTCGCATGTGCAAAAATTTGCATTTCACAAACAGCTTTTACGAATCCATCGATCTCGATGGAGCAAATTCGCGTTAATGAAACGTACGTAATTGCAGAGATGACTGTATTTATAATTTTTATTCAAAATCAGCAATGTAAGAATTACGATTTAGTATAAAAAGCAGTACGAGAAACATTGTAAAACGTTATACATAATACTAAAATATGTTTTTTCCACTTTTTGACTTGCTGGTTTCAAAATCGGCGTTATTCTGAATTGGCACAAATCGAGGGCTACCTGTATAGAATTATTACACCTCAAAAGCAGTACATAAGGGGTCCACACACTGGTTATCTAGCAATAAATGGCAAGTTCCATACAGTAACATTTCAATATAACAAATGATAGAATAACAAAAACACTGTTCATCTCTTACCAAAATACTATATCCTCTTACAGAAGATTATTTCACAATAGTCTAACGAATGATAATAAAATTTAATTATAAAGAATATAATCTGCCAGTCTACAAAAGTTCATTATACTGAGATTTTACTACAATATGGTTGCTACCTCAAACCTTCGGAAAGCTTTGGCGCGCGCGCACACGCAGCATAGTAATCTCCTCTTACTTACATATAGTTCCAAAGACTGAGGCACACCCCAAACAACATGTGGAAAACTCCAACGATGATGGAAATCTTCATCTTATAAGCATTCATAAAAATTATTTTATTTTCTGCTACCTGAAACAATAATTCAGCACCTGATGTTGGCATTATATACAACACGAGCATATCTGAGGTGTAATATATGCGGTTCAACAGCGGTGATATTTCAGTCAGGCTGCGGACTTTGGAGCAAAAGTCTTCACTCCTACCAAGACTACATAGTGCCACAATCTAGAAGACCATAATTTGAATACATGAGACTGTATTAAACACTGCCAAAGTCACTTAAATTGGATACCATCCTGCATGCTGAATTTTCTCCAGAACATAGAAATTTTTATGTCTGACAAAGGAAGATAATTGTATGAATCACTGGACCCATGAAAATTATGTGTGTAATAGAAAATCCTTCCGACTGTTTCTTTCCATCTTGCCTGCCTGGTACTTGCTACCAACAGTAAAGCCACTTTCAGATGCACAGCAGCATGAACGTCCTTACCTTCAATCATTCATTATAGCTTCCGAAAATTCCGTTGTATTCTGGCTCCATCCAAGGAAGAAATTTGCAATTTAAATAAATGTGTACGTATGTCAAGAACATGACTGACAACGATAAATTCAAGTATTAGTAAGGAACATTACCTGCCATACAGGATCCAGTCCAATTGGATATGGATGCTGATAATAGTCATCGGTGCTAGGATTCAACTGCAGATCCTTGTTTGTTACAACAGTTGACTTATTGTAATTGACAGTCCAATAAGAACCAAATATGTTGAGGGACTTTGAAAATATATCATTGTACACAAAGCCAGTATACATGGAAAACAGGCCCATAAGTAGGATTACGTAACGGCCTCCGAAGAATATGTTCCAGATCTGGCAATTGAACAAAGATACACAATTAAACGTATGAAAAAGGAGAAAAAAAACAATTCAAGATAGCACGTAAAAAGAAGTTACACGACTGTTTCAAGTACCGAGATATATTACGAAGTTACTTGGTTCGTTGTTATAAAAATAATTACCTCACTGTCAGATTTCTTTGCTGCCAGAGGTTTCTCACGAAGAACCATCCAACCAGCAAACAGTGCCATAAGCAATCCATGTCCCAGATCACCAAACATTATGGCAAACAGAAACGGGAATGTGATGATAGTGTATGGAGCTGAAAAAACAGAATGTTTTCCCACTACAGAACTTTCGACGCTAATAAAAAAGTGTCATTACTGGATGGGAAACAACAAGCTCAAGAATTACCTTGAAAAGGAGACTGATTTGTGTTTTCTTGTATACCTGAAGACGGAGACAGAGTCCCATCTCAGAAAAATGTTTAAAATTTAATTTTTAGAGACAATGGAATACATCCAAAAATCTTTTTATTTCAGTAAAGACACATGAATAAAAAGGGGCACTCCACAAAGTGTAACACTGCACTGACCTGGATTCACCTCTCTGTAAGTTGCAACACCATATGCATCAATCAGCACTTGGAAACCGTAAGTGAACTTGTTGGTCCGATTGTATGTTGGAGGATCCTCGAATGATTCCATTCTGTTCAAAATCGGAGGTACTGAACTTCCACTCCGTTCCTACGCAACACACCACACTTCTGTTAGTATCTCAACTAACAAACTGACAACAGTCCTTCTTGAGAAGGTGAAAGTCACTCAGACACTTAAAAAATTACCAAAATTTCATGGTACCCGAGTGTTCAATACCAATATCTTGAGCCAGCTGATTTCAGTCCACAGTTTCATACTATTTTTATGGTTATATCTCCTGTCAGATGCCATACTTCCCTAAAAAAAACATTTTTACACTTCTCCCGACACGTTAAGGATGTATTCTTTAGGGGTTTACAGGAGATACAAGATTGGAAAGGCGTACTCAATGGAGTATACTGGCATTCCAAAGATGTTCTTCACATACATTATTGTTCCACTAACATCATCCCAGGTCATGCAGGTTGATTTCCCCCAAAGAAATAATGATCCCCAGTCATATAGGTTGAGTATCCCCACAGGAACAATTACCCCCCCCCCCCCCCCCCCCCCATTACATTTTAATTTTTTTAAAAAATCCAAAAAATGGCCTGTGATGCACATGTGTGCCATTGGCACTAAGAAATGGTAGTTCATATTCCATGCCAGTTAATGTACATGTGAGATAAGAAAACTATGTAAACAAAATAAAATTATTTTTCAGTGTTGGCAAAAGTAACTTCAGTCTAACTGAAGCAGTCGAAAATTGCTGAAGTTTCATTATGACTTGCGTCAGTGTAAAAACTACCTTCAGATTACTTTTCAAAATTTAGCCACAATGAAAAATAATTTCACTGGTGGTTTTAGCTGTTACAGTTAAGTTCCAAGAATTGTCAATTTTATCCCCAATGATGATTAATTATACTTTAAAAAACAATGATGTAAAAACCAAATCTGTGTTCAAGTAACTTGAACCTTAAACGGAATGCTGTTGGGAACACAACTATTACATGTCAGGGACGGCAGTATTGATTTTAATGCAAGATCCATTTAAACACCTATACGATTAACTAGTTTCTTAGGAGTTATAACAATCTTTATATACATATTCCAATATAAAATTGAGTAAAATACAGTTGTAGAATGAGGCACGTTCACATATATTAAGATCTAAGGTTACTACCTACACCTTATAATCTGGTAAACATGAAATGGTAAAGTTGCCTCTGTGTTTAGAAACAGGATTAAAGCACCATACATTCTTAATCCTGTGAATAAATGAAAGTGAGTCAGGTAAACACAGCACAAAAAGTTTCTCTAAGTACTGCTTACGGTTCCCCTCCTTAGAGCAAGCTGAATGGTCTCCAAGTCCAGAACAGGCACCCAACATTCCGCAATCAGACACTTCTGGGTCACATCTAGGTTGAACAGGTTCAGCGTGTGATAAATGGCTTTGATCTTGCGCACCTTCACAAACCAGTTCTTGATGTTTTTTGCAGCAGCAACCAGGACTCGATGTCGATGGTCCTGAGTTTGACCCAGAACCTACAAACACGAAATCTTTTGTGAGATTTCAGGTTCCCACAGCAGTGAGTATAAAGATGGCTGTCTTCTGGGTTGTTGTACCTCGCAGTCTAATAGACGTTTACAACATTTCAGGAGACAGTCATCTACAAAATGTTATGTTAGTGTGTAGTGTATTAAATCAGCAAATGATGTTTAATTTAGCTGATTAAAAAACAATGCATTGATACGGAATCCTCGCCACCATATAACAGCCTGTTGATATAGGATTTGAGGTTTTCACAGCGGTGAGTCTGAAGATGGTTGTCTTCTGGGTTGTTGTGTCATGTAGTCCAGTAGAAGTTTACTGACATATCAGAGGTCCTTGCTGCCTCCATCATTGCTCTACCATACTGCACGGCACAACAACCCAGAAGACAGCCATCTTCAGCCTGTTGATATTTAGACACTATCTTCAGTAAGTTTCATCCAATTCATATCCCCACAACTTAGTTCTATAACATTCCTATTATATTCCCATGCACACCCATCTCATATTAAGGTCTCATTCCATAAGGTTTTCAAATAAACATTCTGTGCCCAGGTCTCCCAATTGACCTCCCTGCTGTACGCAGTTTTTTATCTCCCCAAATGCACATTACATATCCCCTTGACTTATGTTTACGCACACTAATAATTTGGTAAAGAGAATTATAAAGCTCCTCATTATGTGGTTTCTTCAGCATCCAGTCACTTAACTTCACTGTTAAAAATAAGCTATTTCTATTTGTGACTGTGAAAGTAGAACACTCACAGTGTTCAAATCCTCCAGACGTGTCATGACACCCATGGCCATCTCTCTGCGATCAGCTGGGGCTTCCGGACAGGGATAAAGGGTGGCTCGAAAACCTTCACAGATTTTCTTTACCCGAGTCTTGAGTTGATCTCCTTGGAAGAATATGATGAATACGGACTTGAAGACGTTATCCCCCTGCACAAAAACAAAACACTCACCAAATCACAAGATGATTAACTAACACCTGATGCAAAATTTTAGGCTCTCACAGTGGTAAATATGCTGACGTTGACCTTCAGGGTTGTTGGAGATAGCACGTTTCTCCAGAACACTGGTATTTAAAAATAATTCCACACAGCGTTACAACCCAGATCAACATCAACACATGGATGTAAAATTTATTCACAATAGCTATCTACTGGGAATAAATCTGGAATTAAAAAAGCATTAACTTATTCAACATTAAGTTTCTGTAACAATGATTATTAGGAACGAATGTTCTATGGAGCCAATAATACAAGATAAAGAGTCAAAAGCTTTCAAAAGATGCCAAACATCACAGTACTTGTGTGTTTCCATGACAGCATGAACAAAATGTGCAAAAGGCATCATCAGAAATTCATTTTGGTGTGCACTGTCTGACGTAAATGTCCTTATCTTTCGGAATTTTGAAAACTGGCTCCCTACAGACAGCTCATTGCACTCTCTGCACAGTCTCCATACTCTCCAGCTATTCACAAGCATTTTGACTATCACATAAAATTGGAAAATGAAAACTACTTTGAAATCTAAATCACTGTAAGGCACTTGCTTACCACAACACTGCCAGTAGGACTTACACTAGAAGGATCTTCAAGAGGAGTTTCAATCTCTGCCTGACGCAGAAATACATTGCCACGACAGGCTCGCCACAGCATGCGTTCGAATGCAGGAATTCTTTCCCTCAAGATCACACCTGCTACAAACCTACATAAGGCACATATCAACTAACTAGCACAGTCTCTCAAAACAATGTTGACAGTATTATCAGTACTTTAAGGCTATAAAGTGATAATGAAAGTAGTGGCGATGGTAATATAAGTGACTACAGTAGCCACAACAAATGTAACAGTAACAGTAGTGTAGATGATAGTAGTGTGATGGTGTGACTAGTGGATGTCACAGCAATGTCAGTATTTAACACAAACTAGATGACAGCAGTAATATCAGTAACAATGGTGGTGACAGTATTGAGAGTAAACAACAGTAATCTCAATATAACGGTAACATCAATATAGTGGTGACAGTTGTATCAGCAGTAAATTTAAGTTTCTCACTCAATTTCAAATATTTAACATTCCAAATATTCAATATTTTCTTATAAAAAGTGAGTATTATTTTTGTTATAAATAACTCATTAACTCTGTGCAGAGAAATGGTTCCATAAAATGTAATACAATAAAATTATAAAAAGTATTTAAAGTAGTCTAAAGTTACCAGGACTTGCTTCAATGTTCAGTATATAAGCAAGCACACATTTTACAAAACGAATATTAACAACAGAAGTTACAAAAATGTAGATTTAATAAACATCAGGAGGTCAAGAGACTTCTTTGAATTAAAATTAATCTTAAACTACAGATCTTCCTTTATGTCCTTTCATGCACCAAAAACCATTCCATGCATCTTACAAGATTACTGTTTCAGCAGTCAGGAACACTGACTGGAAAACTCTTCATAATCTTTGTTCACATAATATTCATAGCGTTATAAAATTCATCCACTTCAATAAAAACATACATCAAGAAAGCTTGTAACATATTTCATATTTTTAAAAATTCAAGGCAGCTAGGATGTAACATAACAAGGGAACATATTTTCTGTATAAATCAGAAGACTCTAAAATCATTCACAGAAAGGTTACTGCCAGTAAGTGAGAAAACAACAGCCGCGTGAGTTTAAGTTTTGCGTGGGGATACCGACTAAGTGTTGGACCTGTGGGTTCTGTTGCCAGGGAGTGGACACACTGACTAAGAAAACATGTTCATTGATATTAACCACATATCAGCTGCAGATATACCAAGTAGCATCACAAACACCATTTCTGCCCAGATACAACACCACTCATAATAAGTCTGCCGAACATTACATGAACATTAGGCTGTTATGGTATCTTTAACAAAACTTTTCACCTCAGAAGCAGTGACATCAGCACACAGTTCTGGCAACGTGATGAGTGGTAGGAGGGCAATGATGTACTCAGCCCCAGAGCAACTATGTCCTTGACAAATATTGAACATAAACACACAGAATAGGTGAGGATTGGATGTTCACATCAAAAAGGTAACTGAAGTCGGTAAGGACCATTCCTTTTAAACCATACCTTAAACTGATTCCATGGAAAACAGCCCTTCTTGAGAAGCTGACAGTCACTCAGCTGGTCAAGAAATGAATCATTTTTTTATGGAACCTGACATACATTACAGTCTTCTCAGTAACATAACCCAAGTCAATTCTATTAAATCCAAACCAAATTTCTTTTATGTCCATTCATCCCACCATCTATACCTAGTCTCCTAAGCACACCTCTTACAACAGAGTATAAAATTTAAAGAATGCACTTTCTCCATTCTCAGGTAATCAATTTACACTATCCACAACGGTACAATTAAATTTCATGCTAAAATAATGTTAAAACTCAGGCTGTTAAACAAGACTAAATTTTCAGTGAAAATTCATGATTCCTTTTTTCATTATTATATGCAAAAAAAATATATACTGGTCTAGATTGCATGGTACAGAGTTGTAATATCCAGATATACACAACCAAGGATAATTTAAAATTCAAAGCTACCTGAGAGAATGAAAGCTCCTCTACTTGCTTCTGAAAGATACGATGGAACAACTGCATTATTAGCGTAAAGAAGACCAAACCAACCATCAGCACAAACACAACTCAAAACAAATCTCGCAACGGATCACTACCATAACAAAGCAACCATCTTCCATGACACTTATTTGGATAAAAACAATGCATCTTTCAGTATTCACTTTCTTCAAAATGTACAGTGCACACATAAATTTAATCAAACTGAACCAAACATTAAGCCTGTATTCTATTAGAAGTATATATAATCTGTGGGAGATGAGAAATGAAATCATTTAACATTTTTAAAAATTCAAATTCCAAATAATTAGAGTGAACAGCCTTACACTTTTAGCTGCTGTCAAATTTCACTTAATAAATTTCTAAAAATGAAAGGTTTAACATATCCCAAAACACATTCAAGGTATCGCTCTGTCATCAAAAATTCTATGAAACATTTATTGATAAATTGAAAAATTAAACCCTCAAATAAAGATTAAACTACAGCTCATTCATGCATAATACATCTTATTAATATCTTTTGTGAAGAGAACCGATTAGAACTTCATTTAAACCAGGTGTCGTAAGTGGCTCATATGCATTCCCAACATAAAATGTGTCTTCAAGAAATCACAAATGCATGGTTTAGAAAGAGTACATAACCATACTTAATAACATCAATCTTCATTCGTATACGTACAGGTTAGGTCTCCCTTACACTCTACATCTGAATATATTCTCTGTGAGAGATTTCATACATACCCAAGCTGCACCGGGCCAGTTGGAGTCTGGCGAGCAATCGAGTCATCACTAATGAGAGCTCGTGTCATAGACTCAGTAGGATTCAGCCCCCCTTCATGCTACACGAAAAAATACCACAAAAAGGAAGTGTAGGAAAGTGAAAAACAACACAATCACATTAGCAACAGACAAATATCAATGCATCTGATTGGGCAAGCGTAACTTATACTTAAAACGTTAACCAAGTCATTAAATTTGTTGCTGCACACTCAAAGAATACTGAGTACAGTGCTAAGCTGGAGGTGTTCACCAATCACAAAACATCTATTACACACACCAGTCCAATTCAACCACCAATCACAAAACAGTCACTTATTATCTATTACACACACCAGTCCAATTCAACATGTTGCCACATATCTCACAGATTCATGTAACTGCTTTGAATACCAAACCAGGACAATCATGATCAGGATTTCAGCTTTCCTCAGTATCTTTGAGAAAGCCACAACTGTTTTCTCTCAATTCACCATTCACATTCATCCTCACAAGCAAATTTTGTGTCTCAGTTGCCAAAAGAATGCTTTATGAAATACCATTTCATACTACCGCAAGAGACATAGATTGTGGTATGCATATGAATATAAATTTTAAAACAATAAAGGAAATACTTTTATGCTGTGATACCATTAGAGAGGAGAAACCACAAAATGGAGAACTTGAGATAAAATTGAATTTCAGGTTCTTACAACGGTGAGTATGAAAAGGCCATCTTCTGGGTTGTTGAGCTGTGTAGTCCGATAGAAGTTTACCAATGTTTCAGAGGTGCTTGCTGCCTCCATCATCAGGGTGATGAGTCACTGCCCTGACGACAGAAGCAGCAACCACCTCTGAGATGTCAGTAAACATCTACCAGACTACACAGCTCAACAACCCCGAAGATGGTCATCTTCTTAAGATAAAGTAATACACTTAAGGTTGTAGTAACATCCTTTCTTTATCAGGTTACTTCTAGCAAATTTTGTGAATAAAATCACAACAGCATAAACACAATGGGAAATGTACCACGTTCAAGTTACTGCGTCAGAATTTACACATACACATACACACACACACACACAAAACTCTGCTACTAAAGAACATAACCAGTAAAAATTACTTAACAACACATTGTTTCAATAAACATTAACGTAACATTAATATCAAACTGGACAAAAATTACAAATCTTGCATATTTTTATCAACAAAACTGTAAATTCAATGATCCCTTATACAAATTTCCCCTTTACTACTCAGCATGCATAAAACTAAGCAACATGCATGTTAGTTTGGGACTGCCATGTGGGCCATAGGCTGTTGCAAAAACATCACTCATTGTACAACACGATGGCTGGCTGCTAACGGAAGAAACAAACTGAAAAAAACAGGCATTAACAAGGTCACGGACAAAACAGTCACATCCACAATCTCTTCACACACACAGCACACAGAGCAAAACCACTGAATATCCATTAAATAAATACAGACATCTGCTGATTATGAATGGGGCACTGGAAATGGGGAAAATTCATTCATTAAAAATGGGAAAAATAAAAAATTCTGTTTCTACATGAATGTAAATCAGATTCCTCTCTTATAACCCCATCTGAAAGATGAACAGTCAAGTCACAAATTGACTAACACCAATGTGCACAATATTTCTTGAGAAGCTGATGGTCTCTCAGCTAGTGAATAAATTCCCCATTTTCCATGGAACCAGAAGGTTCACTGCCATGTTCACAAGATGACACCACATCCTACCCTCAGCCAGATGAATCCAGCATACATCCTCATACCCAATTTCAATCTAATATCATCCTTCCTATTAAGCCCATCTCCCACACTGTCTCATCCTACTCGACTTGATCACCCTAATATTATTCGATGAGGGTACAAATTCAATATTCTCGTCAGCAGCCCGCTCTCAAACACTACCAATCTTTCCCTTTTTTGATCAGGGTGACAGATAAGTTTCATACTGATACAAAACAACAGGTAAGCTTATAGCTTTGTAATTTAATAGACATGTGTGTTGATAGAAGATTGCTGTCTTTTCAGTTGTTGCGCTGTGTTGTCTGGTAGATTTCCACCGTCCCAGAGGTCATACTGCCCCTGAAACATTGGTGGAAATCCACCAGAAAACACGGCGCAACAACCCAGACGACAGTAATCTTCAGACTCACCGCTGTGAAAACCTCAAATACTACATGTGTTGATATGTTTCAAGCCTTTACACTGGAAGTGTATTAAATGTCACAATTTCACAATTAATATTCTGTAACACATGGAAAGTCCCTGGTTTTATTGGTCATGCCAATGCGGACTTTCTGGAGTTTTCCAT